TTTTCATACCATAAAAATTATGTCTAAGACATTTTGTCGAAAAATGAATAGTTTCGGAAATAATTGTTTGCTTCCATACTTTTTCCCCACCCTGTATAATATTAAATATTAAAAAGTGATCTAGATTTTTTGATCCTCAAGCATCGCTGTGATAAATAAAAATCAAAGGTAATTTTCTAAATAGATATAGAAAAGAATTAAATATAAAATACACTACTATTAGGTATTCTTTTTTAATAAATAATAGATTCAACAATGAAATGTTTAAGCAGACAGCGAATTAAATAGAAGTAAATTTCTCTGAATGAAATTTGCTTTTGTCTATCTTAATGAACTCAGCATCAATTTTCTTTCAAGGAAAATTTGATTAGCAGTTTAATGGGAAGACTGTTATGACAGACTGAGTTAAGCTTTGGAAGTGCAAATTGGTAATACTATTTTCGATTAATTGAAAGTAAACTTTATTAAATATTCTAATACTTTTGAGACATGGAAAAATTGGTATTTGTCCATAAGGTAAATAATGAAAAATTTAATCTAAATTTTCAAGATTTTATAAAAGCTAATTTTAGAATATTTCTCCTTTTCTCCCTTCTTTTTTTTGTTCTCTCATTTTTTGCACTCTTTCAATTTTTGCACAAGTGATACTAAGTTACATATTGTATACTTTATTAGATAATGACTTCATTACTTGTTTACTTTGATCATAAAGTTATAACATAGCAACACGGGTGTATAATATCACTTTCAATGTGAGTTAACAAGATTCAGTAAGTATGCAGTCTCGAGCTCATTTAGATTATAGATAAAAGTTCAGTTAAGTCTTGCTTATCAGAATAAAAAGGAACATACGTTCAACTGAGTCATGGCATCATAAATAAAAATTATCTACATTTTGATGTAAATAGAAAGCAACTATTAATGCTCAAGAATCAAAATATCCAGATCATTGTCAATCTACATCAATCCATCAATATTAACCACACATCAATCATATTGGCTATGTTCAATAGAAAAAGTAACTTTGCAAGTAATCAATCAAGCAGTAATATAATTAATTCTTGCCTTTAATTCCTTGCCGGATTTAAATAACCAATCATATTAAAGAATCTTACAACAGTTGCAAAGCTGCTTTACTGCCGACAATCATTGTCAATATGTTTTGTGTTGACAATATTATCGACCGTGTAATATTTCCATGTAACGCAAGTAAACCGAATTCTCGACTACCCAGACAGCACACAATTTACAAAATATTTACAAAATATTTACAAAATATTTACAAAATATTTACAAAATATTTAGAAATATTTATAAGATTTATTTTAAATATTTTGTAAATATATTTTTGTGGTTTTAGATTGCACAAATCATAAATATTTATTATAAATATTATGAAATACTTATTAAAATAGTTATAGTAAATGCTATAAAAATACTTAACGACATTATAATCCAAATAAAAAATACTTATTAGAAATATTTATTTATATTTACATAAATATTGGATAAAATATTTAGCCTATATTTTAATAATATTTCGAATAAAGCTTTATATAAAATGTGTATAAAATATCTATATAACACATTTCAAAAAATGAATATTAGTAAATATTTATCATAAATATTCTGTGCTGTCTGGGTAGTCCTAGCTAAGGTCAACGAACTACTTGACGTCCTACCTTCTCCGTTTCGTTGACAGAGCGTCCAAAGCTGACGAACCGATAGGAATATTCAGGAACCCGTCCGTACTGTGCGTGAGTCCGCTGTGGTTAAGGTTAGTTGGAGTCGGTATATCCATCGTTTGTAGCAAAACAACCTTCAAAACATAACACACGTCGCTTGCCGCTTTGTATATATTCCGTGGCTTGCCGTCAATAGACTTTAGTCCTCCGTGCGAATAAATCACAAATGTCCTAATCACCTTGTGCAGCTTTGTGTTATTAATACCACGTTATCTGAAAATGTCAACACAATAGTAGTTTGACGCGAAGTGAGTCGTAGTAGAATAAAAATAGACGCAATCCAACCAACGCAAAAATCGCACGAGGCGCATGACGGCGCTCAACGAGTATCGATTCTCGAAAGGTCGATATCGAGAGATTGACGTGACGTCAATCGATTACTCGCCGATCTCGACGCTCGCAGAATTTTTAAATGCACTCTATCGTGCGTGCATGTAAATAAATAAATTAATTAAATAATCGAAACGGATGACGCGCAAGATATTACGGAGATTTACGTTATTCATTATTTCCAAAATAGAGATTACGTCGCGCCGTTCAGCCGAAGGTTTTATCGAACGCATAGCTCGCCGTGTATATTTCAGAGCGACGGGACGTTTTTTTTGAAGAGGAGAGGCATTGTCGTCTTGGACGAGAGAAAAAAAAATGGCGTTGCGGAGGGTGAAAAAATCTAACCTCGCGCTAACGCGGGTCCCCAGTTCTCGCCGTTTGCTCGCCGACGACCAGCGTTTTTCGCGGAACGTTCGAAACAGGCCGGAGAGATCGTGCCTGTGGATCTCTCGATCGGTCGCCACGCATGCGCAGCAGGTCCCGCTCGCGCGAGCGATCGGATCCAACGTTGGCACGCTGCTTCCTTCGTGCAGTATGGCACGCTCGATTCCAGTTCTGCTCGTTGTCACCACGTTCGTGAGGCAGGCTCTCCGTTCACCCGCAGGCACGACGCACGGCGAATAATCACCGGCAGCAATGGACGAGGAATGGGGTACGTAAGCGAGCGGGGGACGCTGATCGCGTCTCCCTGCGAACCGGAGCGATTTTTCGCGAGGGTGAGGAACTGACTTTTTAACCTCCACCCCTTTGCTGTGCCTCTTGCAGATGTGGACAACGTCGAGGCGAAATTCGACCTCGCGATGAGATCGAACAAGTGGGAGGGCGAGGACGAGGAGGAGGATGTCAAGGTAATGCGATTTCCACATCGTTGCGTGCTACGCGAGGACCCTCCCACGCGAGTCCGCGTGCTGTTCCGCGAACCTAACCTATAACGAACACATGTTCTCCATACTGTGCTCCTAGTCGTGTCGATTACAGAATTCTTTCTCATCCTCATTGGCGTCTTTGATCAGAGCGATGCCTTGATATTGCATAGTCACGAAAGAGGGATAAATAATATTATAGTCGTATAAGGATTAGAACCAAGGAATCCTGTGGATTTGTTCATACTTAATATTTATTTACTTAGTATAGCTAATAGGAGCATATACCTTCTTGCTATAAATACTTCTCAGATTTGGAATCAAACTTGTATAGAAATGAATAAGTAAATATTGTTTAAGGATTCCTTTGTTTCATTATTCTCAGAATGTAATTCAGCATTTATTGTTGTTAAATATTTTGCATAAAGTATATTTAGTTAGACATACGTGAATAATTAAATATTAAATAATATATATTAAATAATTTATAGATAATAGTTGTTAATAGTTATTAATTTTATTTGAATTATTTCAATTGTATATTTTTACCAGATCTTTATTTGATGTTAAATGAATTATATTCTAACAAATAATCGATATATATATAATAGGTCTGTTTTTTTAGCTGAATTTCTTGCTTGATTTATCTTTCCTTTTTTTTCTCCATACTGGAGAAAAAGAAGAAATAATGAACAGTGCAAAAAAGAACAGACCTGTTGATAATGAAATTCTGTTTCATTTATTTATGCATATTAAATAACCTAACAGGACAGCTGGGAAGATGTAGAAGAAGAGAAAAAGGATGTAGAAAAACCAGCAGAGCTGGTCCCAAAGGCAAAACCGAAACCTAAAAAAGCCCTGGCTGAAAGGATCGAGGAACGTGAGGTTTGTTTCTGCTTAAGCTACGATATTATTTTTATCTCATATAATTTTACTTATATTTATATAATACATTTATATGAAAACTCAGAAAAAAGCACGGGAAGAAGCTGAGAGGAAAGTGAAAGAAAAGGAAGATGCACTTACACCTGAAGAAAGGCGAACCGAACTGTTAAGGCGTCAAAGGTTGCAAGAAGAGGCAGACTTACGGCTGGCGATGGAAACTTTCGGTTTGTCGACTCTAGTAGATTTTAGTGATCGTAAAAAAGATAAAAAAGATAAGAAATGATTTTTTTTAACAAATGATCTGACTGTTTCATATTGTGAATTGATAGCTTCTTATTTCTAACATAGTAATTTTTATCTGACATCTGAAATAGATCTCTTTTTTTTATCAGAGTTATATTAGGCGTTAGATACACTATTTAGCAAAAAATTTTTTATAAGATACGTCATTTTTTTATTACCTTATATATTGTAGGCGTACATTGTCATTGTAATGTTACTTAGCTGAAGGATTACACTTTCTAATTATGCATGAGACGTATAAGCAGTTTTGCTTTGTAACAATAATAATAGCTATTATTTTTATATAAGTGTGATAACGTTTGACGAATTGAAAAAAATAATCTTAAACTAACTATTTAAAAATTGTGACGATACACAAGTGAATTGTTATCAGGAGACACGGTAGTGTCTCGGCGCTAAGCCAAGCGTAACGACACTACCTATATATTACATTAAATCGTACAGTATTATATACGAAAAGAAATATCTTTAAAAAATGCTAAATGCAACACACATATATACACACACGCATAGAACATTATGTACATATGTCTTTCTTAATATTTTTATTAATATTAATTTAAGAATGTGGCATAATAGCTTTACATTATTGTAATTGTTATAGCCACGTTATATCTACAATCGGTTTATCATAGGAACTGCATCAAACAGGGGCAGACAGACAGAAAGAGAATATATATACAAGCATTTAAACTTATTACAAGCTCTACATTTAAATTTATTACTGATGTTGTTGTATTTTAATAAAAGTTGCTATTCTATGCAATTTGTTGTGTTTGCATCAGTCTTTGTAACCTTATCTCATCTGTTATCTGTCTCCTGTACCGTTCCTGATTGATTCTTTTGATGCATATATTGTAACATGCAAAACTGTCAATTATGTGAGTCATATGTCAGATATATAAACCTTTATATCTCTTAAAAATATAGTAAATAGTATACAAAATAGTATGCATTTCTTCAGAGGTGCATTTCTCTCTGCAGTTTTATAAAGTTCATTATTACATACTCGTGAGCAACTTATCAGTGAGTTTTCACAAAATATGCTTAGTAAATCTAATACATATTAGCTTGATATGAAAAATATTATTACGTCACTTATATATATTTAATAAGAAATATATTAATATCGCATGTGTGTGTGTTATGTGTACGTTATTACATGACAATTTTATGTTGTAGGAGTGACAGAAGTATCACAAAACGAATCATTCGATACTATGGTACCGGATACAAAAGAGGAATTTGAGCAATATGGTGCAGCAATGTCACAAAAAATTAATCAATTTAACAAACATGCAGAGTTTCCACCATTTGCAGAAGAACTTATAAAGTCTATTGCTCTTAATTGTTAGTATATTTGTTAACGATCGATTTCACTTTACTTTCACAGCTATATAGGTACTTTATATTTGAAAATGTCTTTTTGTTCTAGTATCGTCAAATTACTTGAAAAAAGTGAAAACTATAGTTGACAACTTACTTATTGAAAAGCAGAAGATGGAGAAGGGTGATAAGGCGAAAAAGAACAAAGGGAAAGGAAAGGCCAAGCTCAAAATCGAAGGTGACAACACCTTGTTGAGTGAATACGGTGATTATGTATATGATGAATATGACGATTTTATGTAGCGACTTTTCACATATTCATACATTCTAGTCGCCTAAATACACGCAGAGGAATATTAATTTGCAGAATTTATACAGAAACTTTATATTTGTAATTTCTGCATATTGAATTGTAACCAAAATGTACAACGGTTTAATCTATATCCATGATATCACACTTAACAAGATGAGAAACAAAAAAAAAGTAGAAATGAAAGCTAGCATTACAATATTATCGGCGGAAATGCTTAACAAATGAACACTTTCCGACAACTGTACTGATGTCACATTCACACGCAGTTACTCTGAACAGTTGAAGATTCTACGACTTACTGTTGAGTTTTATTGGATTTTTATCCGCGCGTCCGTCGTTATCAGATTTTCAATTTTGATGTTGATGTCAGTAACGATTTTAGCTTATAAACATTGAGGTTGTCGCGCAACGCGCGATTCTAACTTATTGATTGTGCATACATTAACATCGGGCAGTGAAGAATAGAACTATATTTAGTCTTTGAGTTGTAATCGCATCTTAATCTGTTAAAAGGAAGAAACTTTCCCATCTTTATATAGCTGCGTTATTGCAGACTAAACTCGTGTAATTATATTGTGGAAGTTTTATATAACACAGCTTACATATTCATAATACCTACACACACGTACTTTTATTGAAGAATGATTAGAAGTTGGTTTTGAAAAGAGTATATTCCTAAATAAAGGTTGATTATAAATTATCCGCCTCTATGATTCTTGCTCATAATTTATACAATTGATTGTACATTTTACTGCACAGAAAAAGTATTTCTTGTATTTTCTGTTTCAACTGCGTTTCTCCATTTGTAGATTGTATCTTTCGGCTGTTGATAAAAAATTGTCTAGATTGCTCAGCCTAGAGAAATTAATGCGTGTGCATTTGCAATGCACGCAGAAATGGACGATATGTATTTCGGGGATAGGGTATCGCAAAGATAATGTTCATAAAACATGTAAGGACGCAGCATTAAATATCTCGCGATATTAGGAAACTATTTTCTAGACCGAGTCAACTACGTGAACAATTCCTGAAATCTCTCAGGTATTTACTGCTGCGCAGAAATTGATATTGATTTAATAAATATCATTCATTTGATTTTCATCGTTTTTTTTTTAATGTCTCGCAGGCTTGCAGCCTGTCGGATAATTGAATTCTCAACGTTAGGTCAACCCTGTCTTTACACAATTTCCTTCATTTCCTTTTGTATCGTCCAATTTTGGTTTATTTCTCGATCTAACTTTAGTTAAAAATCCCATCTCGGTTTTACTTGCTGTTATTTTAAGAATTAGAAAAAGATCCTTTTTCATTCTTAGAATTAGAAAGAATCTTAAAATTCTTAGAAAGAATTTTTAGAATCAAAGAAGATTTCTTTATAATTTCTTCTAATTCTTAGCGTCAGAAAGAATGTTAAATAGAGATTTGTATCTTACATTGATGGAACCGAGCCTTATTATTACGATAAAAAAGAATGTCTGCATATAATTCATTCTAAGTTCGCCTGTAAATATATCAAAACATATGACTAGATTGATAAGGTAACCAAAACTCGCGTGGCGAATTTCTCTTTGCTTGCCTAAGAATTAGGGTAAAAGTATGAAATCAGTAATTATATGCACTTATTGGTGAGTCTATACGTGTATTAATTTCACCAATAAAATACGAGAATTGAAGACAATTGGTTTTATTAGCACGTGTATGCACTTATTATGCTAATTGAGCAAACGACTTAACCTCAAAATGTCAAAGAATGCCAAATATTTTGCAATGTAAAAATATTATTAATTCTAGCTTACAGTACAATAAATAAAAACGATCGTTAACTTAAATAAAACTTTACTATTTTAAATTTTATCTAATATATAATTAATTTTATAACGAAAAATAAAAATCAATTCCAAATAAAACATGACTTTACTACTAACTAAGATAGTTTTTGTTTGTCTTTAATTTTAGTTAAATAAAAAAGTGTTGAACTGTATACAATTACTAAATCTTATGCTTTTTCTGTAAAATATTTAATTATAAAAGAAATCAAGTCTTTTCTATTCGCGATCTGTGAAAAATATGGACTTTATAATACAAGTTGATTTTGTGAAAAACAAGGAAGAACTTAACGTCTAATAATCTCAAGTTTATGTTATCTTTTAATTATTTAATCCAAAGATTCCTCGATTTAGGAAATGACGATAACTATGCGTTTCCTATTCCGCAATATAAACAGAGCGTTTTATTGCTCGACCTCCAAGCATAATATCAATTCCAATTCGGAGAAAACAATATCAAGTGATGACGCGATTAAAGATTGGAGAGTAGAGCTGTACGATACCATGAAAGTCCTGCCAAACTTTATCAGCGAGAAAGAGGAAGATATCCTGATGGAAGAGGTTGACCCTTATATGAAACGATTGCGCTATGAGTTTTCTCATTGGGACAATGTTGGTAAAATGTCGAGTATTATTGTACTTCTATATTTAGATTGTTTTGTCTTGACTTGTCAATATTTTGAATCTTTGCAGGCAATACACGGCTATAGAGAAACCGAATGGAAGAAGTGGAGCAAAGATAGCTCTCAGGTTCTTGATAGAGTCCGTAAAAAAGCATTCTCACCAGAAATGTTACAACTTTCGCTTGTGCATATATTAGATTTGGCTCCTGAAGGCTGGATAAAGCCACATATTGATAGTGTTAGGGTAATGACCTATTATTTTCACCTTCAAGAACTATTTTTACCATTTACTTTGTTCTTTATACCTATTTTGTTAATTTGGATAGAAAACAGTTTTTTGTTGTTTAAAGAAAAGATTATAAGAGCGAAATTGAAACAATTTCTACCAGTTAAATTAATTGCCAATAGACTTCAGAGGTAATTCTGATTGAAGCCGCTTTCAACAAGATTTTACATAACTTTAACATGATTTGCTCACAAATTCTTACAAATGTGTTACAAAATTTTACAGTTCTGCGGAGGTATTATTGCAGGATTGAGTTTGCTGAGTGACAGCGTAATGAGATTGGCGATGGAAGGACACGAAAAGGAATGTGTCGCGTGTTTTCTATTGCCAAGGAGATCGTTATACATCATGAGGTTCGATTTATTCACAATTTTTATCGTGGCTCTCCTTAATTATTATCGAGAGATTTCATAAATATCGTAAATATATATATTATTTTTAGTGGCATTGCGAGGTACAAGTACAATCACGAAATCCTCAAGTCTGAGGAATCGTACTTTGAGGGACGACACGTACCAAAAGGCAGACGCATTTCTATAATATGCAGAACCGAGGCTGATCCCGTACCTACTTAATCTAATCGATTACGTAATCAATTGCATAATCTACAGATATCACAGTGTATCAAAATATTTCTATAAATATCTAAAGTTCAATTGCTATAGCAAGAACAAATAATTGTTAATAAAGTATGTTGTTTGAAATTGGTTCAAGTTACACCGGCATGGAAAATTGATATTAGAACGCATTATTTATATTTATATTAAAGGCAGACGCATTTCTATAATATGTAGAAGCGAGGCTGATCCCAAAGTTACTTAATCTAATCGATTACGTAATCAATTGCGTAATCTAGATATCAGTATACCAAAATATCTGTAAATATCTAAAGTTCAATTGCTATAGCAAGACATATTAATGTCAAATAATTGTCAATAAAGTATGTTGTTTGAAATTAGTTCGAGGTATATACACCGATACGGAAAATTAACATTAGAACGCATTATTTACATTTATATTACCTCCACTTTGTATGTGCATTTGCAATATCAAAATTCGATCTCGTCCTTTGAATTTCCCGCCAAAGCTACTGGACCACGTGACTTCGACTAGATGGCGCCATCGTCCGAGGCGCAGAGATTCAATCGGTGTGGCGGCCGTCTACGGGAACGTCGCTCGTCGATGGCGGGGCCGTCGTACGAAACATGGCGTCCGCGAGGTTATTGCTGTGAGTGCTGCTCCGTTTTCTATTGTTAAATGCGGCATCGTCACGCGGTCTCCGGTCTGACGCGGAGCGTCGTGTCCTCGGGGCCGGCGAGGGCGTCTGCTTGAATCCCGCCGCCATCCGGGTTTCGGGGGCCGCTCGTAGACGCGGTTGAGTCGAGCAGCGAGAGGAGATACATACAGGGCCCCCGTCAACACAGAGTGGGCGCTTGTGGGTATACACCCCCTGACGCGCGGGACCAGCCTGGGGATCGAGTTCCGCCACGAGCGTCACGCGATCTTCATCGTCCCGGCGGAGACGGGTTCACCGCTCCCGCGGGCCGCGACCCCGCGGCGAGCGTCCCCCAGGTAGGGCGAGCGGGGCCCTGTGCGCCGCCGCCGCCGCCACCACCGCCTCCGCCACTGCCGCACACACGGACACGCGCCTTCAGAATGCCGGTCCCCACCGTGATGAGATTGTTTTTGTACACGGGGTGGTAGGGACACGAGCCTCGTAGCCGCCGTCGTGAGAACGCTCTCGCACGTTTCGCGATCTCCGATGGAAAGCGGCACAGTAGCACCGACGTGGTCGCGCATTGTCCGATTTCGCAGTCGTAGTGTCCACGACCGACCCCGAGCATTGGCGAGGCCGACGTAAACACGGCCGACGGTGTTCCGGAGGCACGGGACTGCGTGTCGTTATTGAGGATGCGTCCAACGACAGAGTAAAACGACGATAGTATACATAACATATGATCCCAATGTATCCCCATTGTCGGGTGACAAGGTAAACATTAGACAGAATTAGTAAGAGAAAACAGTGAGTACCACCCTAGCGTCTTACTTTCCCACGTTGCGTGAAATAAAGCAGCGAGATATCGTCGTGCGCGCCGAGAGAAGACAGGGGTGTGATATACGCTACAGAAGAGAGGAGTAAAGAGAGTGTTAAGCCATATGCCGCCAGCCGGGCTATCGGCGAGAGGCTTGTCTACCTTGATGGACCACGGACAACCAGATGCTCGTCATCGGAGCGAGCGTTTCCTACCCTACTCAGAGAATGGCTCCTCATATCCGCATAGTCCCAACACGGCCAACTCATCGCCACGGTATCAGTACAACAGCAGAACCAATAGTCATACCACTAGGTAAAAAGGATAGAATCTGCCGTCTGCAGATATTGTATCTTTGGTAACGTCTTGTGCATTCGTGACGTTTTCTTCTTGCAGTTACGGGTCCATATATGGACGTACATCTAGCAACAATATGTCTGATAGCAGCATTTCTGACACGCATAGCGGTGGAACTGCTAGAACTGTCTCTCAACAAACTAGTCCATCCCACGGCACACATTCCTCTTCTCAGTCGCGGCAGGACAACAGCACCATTATTTTCACAGCCCTCTTTGATTATGTCGCTCAGGGTGAAGACGAACTATCTCTGCAGAGAGGAGAAACTGTTGAGGTAACTTATAATCGAATTCGATTAGATGCATTCAGTGTGCACATTAAAGCCGTCATATACAAATTGATGTAAAAATGTGTGTTTAATGTAAATATAAAATTAAACATTAATTCGTTGATATGTTTTATTGTGCTATCAAGTAAAATCTGTATTTTATAATTCAAAATTTTACATTTACACAAATTAAATCAGTACACAATGGCTTTAATATGCACAAGTGCCAGTGTTCTTTTTTTCTTCTTAAATATGTTTAATGCTTCAAATATGTTTTGAACGGTACTATAAAAAAAAAAACATATTTAAAACATATTAAAAACATCAACTAAGTTTTAAACTGTTTAAAACACGTTTAAAACATATTTTTTACCAACCTTGACAAGTGCATCAAACTGAATTCGCTATTATTTTTATATATCACATAATTGTTATAACATAATACACTATCTTCATAAGAGAATACGATATTATTATTGTTATTATTGTTATTATTATTTCCTGCAAC